AAAGCAATCTTGAGCTTCTCCCAGGTAGCTGATATTATTAGTATAAATCTTGAAAAGCATGATCATGGAATTTCGGCTTTCTATAAGGGTGTATTTCGAGAAATTTTCAAATTCAACATAAAAAACTGAAAGGACGGACATATCCAAACTTTCAAGCCATCCTTGTTTTTCATATTATAACCATTGAAAAACTTTGCAAACTGCACACATAAATGTCTGATGTTAAAGGTAGTGGATCAGCAGAATGGATCTCTGTCAGATTTTGGTAATGTTAAGTAGTAGACCTCCCGAATACACCGTAGCCCCAATTCAGGCGCTAAGTCCTTAAAGAGGGCTTCAAAACTCCATCAAAGACGCCCACTCAATGGAAGTGGGCGGGCTGGTGGAGTTTTGTATCTCCATTACAGGACTTGGAGCATAAAGTGGAGGGTGGGATTGGGGCTACGGTGTATTTGGGGGGTTCACTATCTAACACTACCAAAACCTGATAGGGGTCCATTCTGCTGATCTATTGCCTTTGAAGTACATGCCTATGAAAATAGGATGTCCTTAAAGGAACCGTCTACCCAAATTCTTTACTTCCATATTTTGTCGTTCCGGGACGTTCTCGTGTCCGATCCGAGTGTCAAGTCCAGAATCGTCGAAAACACTGATAGTCCCTGTTCCGCAGAACCCGCAGAGCGAGTTCTCCGGAACGGTGATTGGTTGGATGCACGCGGATGTGCGGGACGAACGTCACGCCCACCCAAAGGGGAGGAGCCATCGCAGCAAACTCGCCAACCAAAGCGATTTTCGAAGCAATTTTCTTGCTTCAGAAACTTTTAGCAGCACGAGTTGGGCAGCTATACAATTTAGGGCCCGTTACTGTTAGGCATCGAAATCTCATCGACTCCCTATTGGAGGTGGACGGTGCCTTTGAAATTTCAGTGCTACGAGTTTCGAGTATCTTAGATTAAATTCAAACTTCATGTGGATAGAAGTTTGTTCGGTGTTTGGTGCTCGGAACCCTGTCAAGAATATGATCTGCATGCACAACCATCTGTAATGCCTGTAGACCTTTGATTTATTTAAGTAGGGCTCTTCTTTCGAGGGATCTTCGACAATTCGACAATTTATTCAAGGTTTTGTCAACTAGCTATGTCTAGCGTAATCGTGCAAAAGTACCGCGCGTGTGTTAATTATGAAGCTTCATTATCTCATACAATGCTTTAGGTTTTTTCTCGGACAATTGCAAATCAAACATCTTGTTTATAAACCATAAACAACGACTTTTGTAAAGCGCCCACACTCGATAAGTATAAAAAATTAAATATACACTGTTGATGTGGTGAAATAGATTAAAATTCCATCTAACTGATTAGACAAAGGAAGTGAAGCCATTTAGTAAGTGATGACTCATTGCGGTAATTTTGTATATCCACTTGCTAGCGCGTTATCATCTCCGCACTGTACTGAGTCAAACTTTTTGCACGGCTGAAAAATAATATTAAGTATCGCTGCAGGGGCCAGCTGAAGCAACGGATTTACACTCAATTCTTTTTGATTAGTATGCTAACGCTGGGGAATAGCATAAACGCCGAAATTACGGCCTATAACCTTCAAGCAGTACTATCTCGACATGACAGAATTACTCGCACCTTGTTATCATTACTCTGTACAGAACATGAAGCCAGTACTTCGGCGATCTCGTCCACATTGTAAAATCGCTCATCTGACAACCGTACTATCCTTATTTCACCTTGAGGAACGAAGAGAACATTCTTGACAAGTTCCTTTGAATATTTTCGTGTAATCCTGTTGAATTCTTCACATCCCATCCGTGGCATACCGATGTTCATTCTTTTTGCTTGCTCATCTTCGGTCAAGAATATTCTGGATAATCTCCGCGGAATTTGTCCCAAAACGCCGCAGGCATTGGCTGGTTCCTGCCGAGGTACGCTGTTGTAGCACAAACTTGGCAAGGGAGGCGAAGTGGGTAAAGTAGCGTATTTAGCTGATGCGAACCTGCTTCTTCGAAGTGAGAGCGACGAAGAAAGGTACCGCGTGGGCTCAGCGCGGAATTTTTCGCATGCATCGTACGGTTGTTCGTTATCGTAGCTTGACTCATCAGCGTCGTTAGATGAAGGCGAAGTGAACGAAAACATCGGCTTTTCATGATCGTCCGGTGAATCGGTTTCAACTTCCGATTCAGGGATAACCGCACTTTTACTTGAATAGAACTTCAGCTCACGAGAAAGCATTGGTCTTCTTCTTCTTGGAATGTTCGCATTTCTAATTACGTCTTGCGTCTGAAGAAGGGCTGTTTTGATTTTTGGTTGATATGCTGTTAAAAGAATGTAGTCGTCCTCTTCTGCTTCTTCCTCATCGGTAGCAAAGGTATCACATGCATTATTGTTTGTGTTTTCTAGAAACCACATAGTACTGAACCTACTATGACGTTGACCGGTGTTGCTTCTTTTGGCTATTGGAATTTCGTCATCACCATAAAATGCCGTTTCCCCTCTCGAACTTCTGAGGACGGAGAGCCGGGGATTCACTCGGCGGAAATGAGAATGATGCGATGACTCGGTGCTGAAGGCTTGCTGTGCGCCGGGAAATAGTAGTTGCAGTATCCTTCTTTCTTCATCATCTCCCATATTTGCACAACAACTACAGGATCACTTCTGTGAATTTTTAACGGCAGGCTCGGACCACAGCCTGAAATCACTTGTTTTTGTGATAGTAGAACTCGCAGATTTACGAAATAGTTTGGGAAGGCTGAAGGTGCACATGTTTGTGTTTCCAAGTCTCATACTCCGCAATATTTCCAAAACACGTGATCTCAGTCACCATCTAGTGCGAAAGCTGTCTTAAACGTTTCACGTGGGAGCAAGAAATCAAGAAACATATGCAATAATTTCAAACCTACCAGCGATATGAGCAGCGACAAGAAAGCGAGATGATATAATGAATTTCTTGCGGACCTTCCGAAAATGTTGCTAAGATGCGTCAGCTCTTATGAATGTTTTTGGCACGTAAACTAGCATTCTTAGGCTCGACCGTTCTTTTGCATGCAAATTTATATTTTCTTAAGTCATGGCTGTACTAATAGAGATATCAGGAAGAGGGTTTACAGAAATGTACAATCTCAAACCCGGACAATCATGATAGTGGCTTATTTCCGTCCCAGGTTTCTTACAAAGTAATTTTTTCAAAAAGCTATCCACTATAAATTTTGACATACAGGGTTACCCAAAGTATCACTTTTGATCGTCAATATTTCTCTTGCTGCATTGTCTCTTACCGATTTAGACCCCAGTCTGTAGAGCTGGTTCTAGCTTAGACTTGCAGTATGGAGCAAATCGCCGATTTATCGTCATCACTTTAAAACTACTAGGGGCCAGCATGCAGTTCCATTGTGAACTAGCTGCCATTTAAACACATGTTGCCTCCACTATTTAACTTTTGCCAGTTGCAACCAGGGTCAACGTGTTGATGCCATCCGGGACTCTCTTTTACGACCCCCCTCTCCCCCTCCCCTTGAAGGTACCCATCCGTACATCAGTTGACGAAGGAGGACATCACTTTGAGTCTGACACTGACATTCAAACTGTTACGTGCTTAGATTTTGAATTATAGACAAGAAATGAAGTAAAATTACAAGTAAGCAAAATTCGAGAATATAGAACAGTTTGTTTCAGCAATATAACATTTAACCATTTTACAGTAACCTATTTTCTAATGACAGGTGAAAATTCTTCTGCTCTTCATGAATGTTTGGATGACTTTTAGTAAAAAAGGGCAAAAGGCAAAAAGGCAAAAGTTGAGACTATACCATCCGCATGGTAACTGGGACTCATAAACGTGTCAAAGCTAAGCATTTTTCATTTTTAAACACTCGGTCCTTTTCCTTGTGACATCCTTCTCTTTGCTGACATCTTGGAATCATTTTTTTTTCTTTGTGTGATATACAAAGTTCCTTTCTTCATACAAAAATCCATGTGCACCTACAAATCAAAAGTAAACCACGAAGTCAACTACCCTTCATGCTTAGACTTCCTGGATTCGGAGAAGCATACGTTTGAAGCATATAAATATTACACATCCGATTAGCCCTTCGAAGTAAGAAGCTAAACATCGAGTCGTTTCATAAGTTCACAGAGTGCTTATATGTTCTTTTGTCGTCATGCGATGAAGCGGTTGGGTTACGTCAAAGACCCGTACCATTAGAAAAAGAAAATCTTGCTCCACATGCTGTTCTTTATTTTGAACGCACTGCCCTTTGTTTTTATTATTTCTCAAAATAAAATTTCCGCAAAGAAAATTCGGGAAAGCGTAAAATGTTGGCCAGAGCTTGTACTCATACATTTACACCACTTTGAAGAACATTAGTCAAGGTCCGATAGGAGGACCAACACATTTGTCTTTAAAGCGCAGAACCGAAGCGGCAGCGTCAAAGGCAGCCTATTGGCACCTTGTTCAAACGGTTCTTAGCATACTGGTGTGCTGCAAATTTATCAGCCTTGCTTGGTACTAGCCGTTCCGCCTAATTTTGGGAATACCATTTTGCGGGATACGGACTAAATGCAGGAAGTGCACTTGACGCCAATTTTTTGTGGAGCAAGACTGGCTCTTTAATGGTGCAGGTACTTGGACGTTAACCAACGGCTTCATCAAAAAACGACGACAAAATAAAAACCACGAACCTACGAAACGACCTAATAGAATTATCTTTTGATAAGGAAAGAATGATTAGTCGATTGGCCTTTCAAGAACTCTTTCTAGTCAAATTTTTGCGATGACTTCTACTATTCATAAATTTACTTGACTGTGTCCGTGTCCTACACTTTCTACCGCACAAGTCAGAGTTCATGGCTAATGGCTTTAGTTGAATGCCCAAGCAGTGTATCGGTGGCGGTCCCAAGATTTCCGTTCGGAGGGAGGGGCATTTTTCCGGACAAACAGTGTGGCGTTAGCCACGCACTCTGAGGTCAAATTCAGTTCCTTATCTATCCTCTCAGGCTAGTTGGAAAAGCTGTCGCTCCAGTCGGGCTATTACACTCACAAAAATTTCGCTACAGTGCTACCTGTTCGATGGACAATGGAAATCAACCTTTTGCTACTGTATAGATTGTGCTTTGTGTGCATTTGTCTATTCACAGGGGTCAGGTTAAGCACTAGTCAGACAAAGAAAGCTGGTTGAGTCTTCAGAAGAAAATCTTCTGCAGATAAAGGCTTGAAAGAATCTTATGTTGTAGCCAAGAAAATATTCTTCACAAATCGGGAAGCCGCCTTGATGCTTTCCCCTAGAAAACCAAGTGGTCTAACCAGTCGTTTTAATCCCGATGCAAGTCGGAGAGTTTCCGTTTTGAACTAGAATCACATCAACATCGGGCAAGTAGCATTCCACACTTGTCGGCTACACTTGGCCTGTTGACCCATTTTCAATCAGTTTCACCTCGCACTTCGTTTTGCTGCAACTGTGGTGACACATCCGAGTGCAAGTTCTAAAGCTGGGGAGTAGCTATATGTGAGTTACTGGTTCGATAATCTGGCTCCCATACTGACAGTTACTCAGTGGAGTGTTGGAAAAGTTAGAAGTATGAGTTCATAAATGGAATGCGTGAAAATCTGCACATGCGCTTTTGTAACCGGAGGGTTGACAATGGGTGATTCACCTTGACTAGAAAGCAATACTTTTTCATAGGCACATGGCCTCAACTTACGTCCTCGTCCCACACTCTTTCGACTATTTTTTCTAATCTTTCAATGGAGATGCAGACATTCTTGTGTATCAAAGTCAAAGTGAAATGCCTAGTCTACATTGAAAATGCAATGGTCTAGACCGGTATCGTTTCCAGAATCTCTGCATACGTTGCACTTTCGAACTGTACTTTTTACTTTTTCAAGCATTTGATGCGAGCTGCGCAGTAGACGAGAATTAATTGCCACAACCTTCTTTTTCTTGCTTCTTTCACGCTTTTCAATGAGATCCCGTTCATCCAACCTGTAGCGTTGTTTCTCGGTTGTTTCGTTGCAAGGTAGAGCGTATAGGCGTAGAACCTTGAGAATTCGAGTCTTTTGGCCACTTCCAAGGCGACATTCATTTCTCATTTGCGCAGCGATGTTGCGCCAGATCAGGGAGTGAGTGACCCTTGGAGGGAACGGGACGATGAGGAAACCCGGTCCACTCGGTCATTTATTGCTCTGTAGTGTAATGGTACAGTATCTGAGTGTAGACCATTTGATTTGGTTGTTAAGTAAGGCCGCGCAAATTTATCATTCTTTAGTGAATGAGCTTTGCAGGATTTGTAACGTATCAATTCTGAGGTGAGTATAGAATTCCTGATTGCCGAACCTGGCGAGAAAATGAATTAATGCGTATATCAACTTCTGCAGTTTCGCGCTTCATGGCCATTTTCTATAAGTAATTGTTACGCTGTGACAATGATCGCTGTCAAATCTACGACTGTCTTGGTGTTGGGTTCGCATCGTTTCGATCTCGAAGCAGCGAAAAAAGAACAAGAAACGTTTACTGATAGTTGAATAACCTAAGGACTGCGTGTTTCATGATGATAGAGGCATCATCTGCGAAAGCGAGACCGTACGGTATTTCCCCACAACTAAAGATTTCTCAAAGGAGCTAATTGTTCAACAAATTCCTAATTCTCTAACTAACGCAGTCATAAGTTTGTTGGATTGGCAACAATTGTACATTTTATTCTTATGCATGTGGACAGATCAGTCAACATTTCTGCGCATATGGAAAACTCATTATAGCAAATGTGGATGCCTCTGAAGCCAGTAAATCTTGCTCAATATACAATCATAAGCTCGAGCTTCAACAAACTTTACAATCTTATAAGCGTTATTATTCTTCATAACATACGTTGAAAGGTTTTGGTAAGAATGATTTATGTTTGAAGATAAAACTATTGAAGGATTTTGGCTACATCCTGAAATTGGTCAGTGGATCTATCTGTTTACAGACAATTTATTCTCTGAACAAACGGATTTCTACATCCTATACACAAAATAAAACACCCCAAGTATTGTTCAATGCTTCAAATCGACCTTCAACTGGCACCTGCACGATGTAGAATAGAGGTAAAGATTCTCAAACAGAAAGTGGTCTTGAAATGGCACAGCATATCTCCCAGTAATTAGTAGTTACACTCTGCAAACTGCATCGTCACACCAATTAGTCGACCGGTCTTGAACTTGGTAAAAGTTTGATGCAAAGCAGGAATAGCATGACTGTGAGTGAGTTGGAGGCAATACCACGTCACTTGAGCGATCAGTGCCTTTCTTTTACCTGCTGCAATTGGAGAGAGCTGTTAGTGATGGGACAGTATATATAATACTGCTTCATTAGATCATTGAGTGGTACTTCAACTTGCTGACAGGCTTCTCAACTATTTTTGAGAGACCTATTATTCCTGTAGTATAGGTATTCTTTGCAGTGGTATCGTATCAGCAACATTGATTGATGGTTCAGAATCACTATGACCATCTGTGAGTAGGCAAGATTGGAACTTCGGCCTCTTATGACACGTCCATTAGCCTTGGTCCATCCCCGCCGGTCGGCCCGCAACTGTTGCGCGGTCACTCTCATAAACACCATCCGTGCTCGAGGTGGCGGCCGTTTTTCTTTTCTCTTCCAAGCCAGTATATCTTTTGAATCTGTTGCAGTTGTCGTTTGCAGGAACTCGCTTTGATGCTGCGTTTTGCAGCGAATTATCTAATAAAAGGAAAAAAAGTTAAAATGTCTGAGGACAAAGATGTTCCACTGTCATGGCCACGCTAGAGGTATGGAACCATAAACCGGTCGTGGCCCGGCTAGGATCGCCACTTACAACCTGACGGGTCGCTCTCACTACTTCGCAAAGACCCTACATTAAGGCTGTTTCTTGCTTCGCTTTGCCTATTCTCCACCTACAGGAACTTTCACGCCTCATGCACAATACTTTGATCCAATTAAGTCTCTCGAACCAGAAGCATTCTTTTCCTTGCACTCCTCTTATTTTCGAATAAGATTACTTTGCAAATCTAGTCACTGCGCTCACCGAGGCTTACACCGGATTTTGCCAAAAGCTGTACTTTTCCACAAAAAAAACATTCCCAGATAGGCTTGTGTACTATTTTGTTTGCCAACAGTGCGGAAAGCCTTCCTGAAGCTCCTCACGCATAACAGGCGCCAGCAATGTGGCCAGCAGCTGCGTCATACGTCTGATTTTGCCCTTTGGCTAGGAACGCGTAAATAATGCCCATCAACTCCTCATACTACAACTCTGGAAGCACATCAAGTCTGGTTTAGGACATTTGCCATAGACATGGGGATAAAGTTAGAATCGCGATGAGCGGTGAGATACTGTTGTCCATCAGGCTAAAGGTCAGCGCAGCAGACATGCGACCTACTTCTGGCGTACATCGCTCATATAACCTCACCCAGACCTTGAAAAAGCGACGACGTATCGAGAGTTGCGACTTTCTTCTAGACTAAAACCTCTTGATGTTTTTCTTCGCTTCTTTACACGCATCTGCAGCAGCAAGCTTCGCGGTATGTTTTCCGGTCACTGAAAGTCAAGAGCACAACCTATATCACGGGTCTACTTTCGTATCCTTCACATCATCGCTCCTATCTGAACATTACAATAGATTGCAGTTTTGTGGATAAAGTTTTAGCGTGAAATGAAGTGACCTTGCTTCTCTTTCTTAATCATTGGCTTACTTTGAGGTTCAAAGTTTCAGCACAGACTCTTCTTTCTTCTCCTTCTTCCGCATCATATTAGGTCAATGTTGCGCATGCACCGTCATAACTTTTACTGGAGTTTTTTTTTCAGTTTTTCAAATTTTGTACAAAACTGTAGAGTTCTAGCAAATTTGTCTTAATTTTTTGCAATGAAAGTCGAACAAATCAAATACTCGTCGTCATCCTATCCTTTGCTTTTTCTCATCTCCTTCGTAGAAAAAACTGTATTCTTTACAAACCCGCCAGAATCGGACCGCCTCTAATTTCTCGTTTAAAAATCTATCCCTTCTTAATGACCACCCTTATCGCGGATCCGCATCGCTCGATGCTTGATCATTCATGTCCTCCTCACATCATTCCAAAAGATTTTTGACTGCTTTGCATGTGTTGCTTTTTCTCATGTTACTCTATTCAGCCATGATGTTCATCGTGGTCTCAGTACTTGTCGCGTCCAGTTTAGTCATCGCAGAAGAGCAGAAACTGTCCTGGAAGGTAAGAATTATTCACTGTTGTGTGTTCAAAGATTGTAATCACATAACTGAAGGATGATGACGGTTTGGAAGTGAAGATCATCAAGCCGATAAAGAAGGAGAAATGTACGATCGTCTCACAAGAGGGTGATATCGTTGATCAGTACTACAAACTGACAGACAAGGATGGCAAGGAGATCGGAAGCAACTTCGGCAAGAAACCGTAAGTCTCTTGAGCTCACCTAGAGAAAGTAAATACGTAATTCTTCATGTTATAGGTACACATTCACACTCGGAAAAGGACAAGTGATACCTGGAATGGATCGGGCCATGACTGGCATGTGCATTGGCGAGAAACGAAAGGTCGTGATTCCAGGTCATCTTGGCTTTGGTACCAACGGACGGGAAAGGTATAGTCGAATTCATCGCACTGGTCAGCTCGCTTTTCGAATGCGAAGTGCGAGTAACTAAAGCGTTCCCTAAAAAAAACTCGAAATACTAATCTTCGAATATAATGGGACTACCAAGAGCAAAATTTGATAGCTTTACATTGGTTTCACTTTTTCTATTGCTTGGAGCTTCGGCTGTCTTAAGAAGTGTTTGCTACTTGATGGGATTGTTGGCTACCATCCTGATATGTTCTCTTAGCTACTGCAGTGCTAAAGACATTTTGCTTCTTACTCGCTCACAGTAAACCCCATCACTGTGGCCTGAATTATTCATTTCAATGACCAACCTTTGGATCAAGTCTCAACGACGAGAAGACCTGTGCAGTGAAACGTCTATGCACATTCAACCACACTTCTTCTCTATTTCCATGACCCAAATGCGCTCTAATATCAAAACTTGCAAGTATTTTATATCAACTTCAACGAATCAATATTATAAACTTTCAGGGACAACATCGAAAAGGACCAGGTTCTATATTACACTGTCCAGCTAGTCGACCTCTTCAGGGCTGTTCCTGGCGACAAGTGGGAGACAAAGGAGGGTATTACGATCGAGGTCTGTGTCAGTTGTCAGTAGAATAAATTGGATTTCCCAGAGATCCCACATACCTAATGTGAGCCTAGTGTTCATAGTGGTCATCCTATTTCGACTAATTCAAAGATAAGTACAGAATATGACATTTTTATAAGCGACATTCTTTAGGTCAGTCACAAAATCGATGAAGAGAAGTGCAGAAAGTCCGAACCTGGAGACACCATTCACCAGCAGTATATACTCCACCTCGAGGACGGCACTTTCGTTGACTCATCGTTCTCACGCAATGCTCCATTCATCTTCCAGCTTAACAGAGGGGTTTGTGAGCTGGTTGACTCGCATTCATCGCACATTAAAATACCTATGTTTCAGCAAGTTATCAAGGGCATGGACATCGCCATGACAGACATGTGCGAGGGTGAGCGCCGTAAGGTTATCATTCCTTCAGAATACGGTATGTTCCATATTCTTCCCAAATTCGGCTGCCGTCCAATCGCGTCTTTCCAGGATACGGAGATGAGGGCAGACCACCACAGATCCCTGGAAAAGCTCGCCTCTACTTCGACATCACCCTTGAAAAGCTGATCAAGAAGGATGAGCTGTAAAAAACTGTGTCATACAGTTAGTGAGTGATCGATGGACGTGTCTCTTCTACGATGAACTCAAACTGGCGCATCTTGCCCAGATTTCTTGTTATGTAAAATATTTTGCTGCGTAGAACATGGAATTATGTTCTATGTTTATTGAATTTGTTCTGTCTTTTGATAAAAAAATGTGTGTGATTTGAATGCAGAAAACTAGATATATTTCATATGCATCACCTACTCTCATTTCGATGTTCTTTGCACGGAAGATTTCCCAAGGACGTTTGAGCAAACTCAAGTCTGAAATCTTTTATTTGAGCAGTGACGTCTCAAAAGTCTTTGAATACGTAGTTTCTCAGTTGATTTCTGAGCGGGGCAACAAAGACTGAGGGAATTGCATACACTGTACTTCATGTTCCAAAAGAAATACGAAAAGTCAAGGTTGGGAAGAAGAGAACAGCGAGCGATTCAAAAAAATTAGTTCTATGAGGACAAAATATCCAAGAGAAGCAGCTGATTGTATGGCGCAGGTGCAAGTGGGCATCCTTCTACACAGAACATCTGAGGTTCAAATCCTGATCTCGGCATTTGATTTGCGAGACGTTGATCATTCTGTTGCAAAAATCACCACCGAGTACCTCAAACTTGGGTAACTAAACCGCGAAAAAATTTGAGAAAAATTACATTAATGTATCTTTATCACATAAACGGATTGTACCTCATTGAAAAGCAATATATTAGATTCATAAAGATGTCTCAGATAGTGTAGAGGTAAGTCGATGTCTTAGGAGTCGGATGACGATCGGTTCGAATCCCTCAGATATAATGTGTAATGCATAGGGAAGTTTTAGCAATATTTGTTAGATTTAAGGGTTAAATTTCCGCACACTTTAAAACATAATCAAAAGTGCGAGGGATACGAAGCAAGAAAAAAGGGTCTTGGGTGAAAATAAAAGCGAGTGATGCGAGCTGGGGCAACCCAGATAGCAAGAGTGGCGAGTGAGCGCACGGAAAGGCCAGGAGGGCGAAAGAGGCCAGAGGAGAAGGGGGAGGAAAACCCGGGACGGCAGCAGCACGGGGCGAAGGGAGAGAAGAGGCAAGCATGACCCGGGGACGGGGGAAGCCGAGAACCCCAGAACCCGAAAGACAATGCATGTTTTACCATAGTCAAAAACGCCGTCATAAAAACCTCAAAACTCCCCCCCCCCCCCACTCAAGCCCACGCAAAGACACACCCCAAGACGTCCTCGCCAACGACCTAAAATCCATTGAACACCGACCCGAACTACCACGCAGACCTACCCGCATGAGGATCCGACACTCCAAGACCATCCTGCCAGCCCAGCGCGTTATCCACTACACCACACTTGCACACTCACACCCAAGTCCTTGCATTGTTATCCATCTTGGTTGGTTTTATTGCCCGCAAAACTAATTTTATTTCTCCTGAACCCTCCATCAAACACACTCCAGGCAAACTCTTTACCCACTAAGCCATACAAGCACAGCTCGTACTGCGGTATCGGTGTGATATCTTGCTATTTTGTTTGATTGCGATGCAGTATCTACCATCAATCGAAAATCACGCCTTTTTCGTGTCGTAATGTGTCAGTGATACTACACGAAAAAAAAACTTTTCTTATTATAATGCCTTGGACCCAGAAAGTATACTTCGTTGTTTTTTTTTTGCCTTTACTTTGCGCCACTTAATGCATGCATAAAAATTTCTTGCTCTGCTTTTATGATAGTCTCCATCCATCCTTCCAAAAGGAATAGAATAATTTTTGTTATACTGACTGAGTGACACTGTTGCATTTCAAATTTAGTTTATAACAGCAGATACTCATAAAAATGTGAAACTATACTCGTGTAGTCATAGTCAGCACTATTCAGCACTCAAAGAAAATCCAGAGCCATGAAATGCACCACGACATCACATGAACACGGAAAAGCTGATAAAAAGGTGCTTAAAGGCAGTGTTCAAGCAAAAAGTCGTTTTTGAGATTTTGTGCTTATCCGGGCCTATTTGCCATGCTGAATTCGATGAACCACAATGGAGAGCGCGAAAACGCTAAAAAAGGTCCTAACGCCGGAGAGAAATCGCAGGTGGGCGGGGCCGTTCACACCGCGACGTCACTCTCCCAGGCTTTAGGAGCGATCTTCTCAGTTCCGATTTTATGTCATGCTCTCCGCAGCTGGATGGCGGTGATGTTAGTACTATTAGCGGAAGCGAGAAGGTCGCTCCTGAAGCTGGGAGAGTGACGCTACTATGTGAACAGCCCCGCCTACCTGCAATTTCCCTCCTCCGTTAGAGCCCTTTTTCGCCGTTTTCGCGCTCTCCAGTGTTGATTTTCGGATTCAGCATGGCGAATAGGCCCAGGTAAGCACAAAATCTCGAAATCGACTTTTTGCTTGGACGCTGCCTTTAAAGAGATGAATCTTCGATTCATTCGTAACTTGAATAGTGAACATGCACACTACACGTGGCAATCGACAACATCTTTACTGTTAACTCCTCAGTAAGCTTTTTTCTAGCGTAAGAAACAGTGGAATCATGTATCACTACCTTGTGAGTATCCAAGCAAACAGAAAATTACAAGAAAACAAGGAATGACTACATACTTCTTACAAGTCAGCAAGTAGCGTGCATGGTATGCATACGCATTTACAGTTGTCTTGAAATATACATCATAACATCACATAAACATTGAATATGATGAAAAGAAAGGATAAAAGAAATCATTCTATATACATCAAAATATCAGAAACAACAAAAATCTGCGAAGCTTATGCTTTGCTTTCAGGTTTTTATTGAGGATATAATAGCGCTAAAAACTGTAAACTAGTCCTGAAAGTCCTGAAAACGGATGCAAGCATTTCCTTGGCTGAACTGATTTACGTGCTACCTTTCCCTTAAATGCTTGCGAATCGCATAATGATTTTTCTTCCATCAGTCATCATGTGCTCTTCGTAGTTCAAACGAATTTTACACTAGAAACGTTTCAAGGTAGTGTTTCCTATCTGCAAATTCCTTTTTGGATCTAAAAGAAAAGTAGGTGATGAACTGCTACCATAGAACTTCTGCTACACCCTCATTTTCCGAATTCCGAACATAGCCGATTTTCTATGCTTACAAAGCTCAACATTTGCAAATCTACTAGCATCTATATTCCAGTTGAAACTTCGCACCTGAATCAATCTGAACCAAACGTTACACTCGCAACTTGGAGGCAGAGCAGGTGTGTATGCTGTTTTCACTAACATCAATATCGATTTTATCGATTTTTTCGATTTTTGCAAAGTTGGGCCGGAGCCTTGGAATCTGGAGCCTAGGAATTGGCATGGAGAAGAGAGGGGGGGGGGGGAGGGGTGTGAAGCGAGCACGTTGAGAAATGGATCGTATGGTGATATGCTTGCTCTGAAAAGAAGCCAAAACAGAGTTGTATTAAATATCTCCGAAAGTTTCATAATGGGAAAAGTTTGGCTTTTTGACTACAGTCACAATGTTTATTAAGAATCGAGATTTTCCAAGATATATTCGTGTATTCTGGAAGCTAGAGCGAAAGAATACGAAGCAAAATCGTACAAGAAAAATGCTCTTCAGTTTCTTTTTGAGATGTCTTGAACGAAAATCTTTAAAATTTGAAGTATAACCACTACATGGTATATAAGGAAAGTCATTGGCAAGCATTTGTAGCATCTGTTTATAAAACGTAACCACCGTAAGGAACTGAAAGAGCAGCGCTATCTTGGGTTGGATATCGTTTTATGACGTGCCCGATCTTTTAGTCTGTTACCTATTCGAGCATCGTGCACTCAAAATCGAACAGCACGGCCAAACTCAGCTAATAATCCAAATGGTCGAGGTCACAGTAATGCCCAAGTTATTCGATTTTGTTTTCTTTGAATATTCTTTGATGAATATTCCATTATTTCAATATTTGAACTCGCAAACTGGCAGCAATCGCACACTCAAATTCGATTAAAAAACTCTTCCAGCAGGCTATAGAGTTTCTAGAAGCATGCATTTTTAAAAATATTCCCTAAATCAACCACTCGATGCTCGAAAATGGATCGCCCAAAAACAATTCTTGGACGCACAACAGCAGCCTTCACATGTCACACGCTTGTTCAGCAGCTTTGCCAACGAAAAATTTGTGAAACAACCTTTTTTGATTTTTCACAAAAATAATGATAGCAACCGCAACACCATATGCTCACCGCAGCCCCTACCTTATAACATCAATAATACATGCCATTTTCGAAAACAGCACCTTAGATAACTATCTTGGGCAAACTCAGTATACATGCGCTAGACACTTTTCACAACTACCGTTTCAGACATTACTTCTCGACAGGTTGTAACTAGAGACGTTACGGTACGAAATAGCAGAAATTGAAGAAATTTGATGAGTAACAGTGCAGCCGTTCAACAAATATGTCGAGCTCCTATAGACTGCGACTAGCGTTAATTTGAAAGAAAGTGTCCGGTCAAAAAGTCGATTTTGAGATTTTGTGCTTACCCAGGCCTATTTGCTATGCTGAATAAGAAAATTCATACTAGAGAGCGAAACGGCGAAAAAGGGCTCTAACGCAGGAGGAAAATCAGCAAGTGGGCGGGTTTTTTCCACTGTGAAGTCGCGCTCCCAGCTTCCGGCGCGTTCGGTTCGGACTTCAAGTAGCTTCCGCACTTAGCCGGTGACGATGTCAGGGCGGCTAGAATCGAGAGGATAGTGCCGGAACCTGGGAGAGTGAATTCACAGTAAGGAACAGCAGTTTCCGCCACCTGCTGTTTCCCTCCTGTGTCAAAACCCTTCGCGCTCTCCAGTGTGGATTTTCGGCATAGCGAATAGGCCTGGCTAAGCACAAAACCTCAAAATCGACTTTTTGCCCAGACACTGCCTTCAAAAATGTCTTCACGAAATCTGTGAATTTTTTGATTTATTTACGAGCATCAAAAACTAAAGAATCTCCACAGATGAAAAGTACAAAGCTTGACTATTAGTGTACATTATAACTTGAAAAGTCCTAGTACGGCCAAAATGGTGCATGAAGTTATGATTATTTCTGTGAGTTATGAACCAGTGCTCGGACCTTGAGTGTATGTGAATGCGTTTCACCGGAAATTCTTAAGATCACCATATACTTGGAAGCTGCTCTACGATTATATCTGTATACGACTGACACATGTAGAAACTCGGTCTTTGCTAGCCAAGCACACTTGGCATTTATAACGAAAAACTTGCAGGGACACAGAACTTCCTATATGACGAAAAGCAAAATCACTGAATGAGTATACAAAAGAAAAACCAGCTGCTCTTCACTTGCCTCTTTAGCTCAGAAAAAAAAAACACGTCACCAGCATCGCCTTCCTTTTTCCATACTGCTCATTTCGACTGCTCACAATGCAAATTAGCTTATTCAAAAAGGTAGCATACGAATACCGAACGACTTGATAAAGAAGTGATAACAATAGAACAATAAGTGATATTGCGATAACAAACGCAAACAAAACTTAGTCAAAATCTTGAGCCTTTTACTCCACCACAACAACAACAGATAGGCAAAGAAGAAAAAACATGAGTAATGCAAATACAATAGAACTAGAAATTGGGGCAGCAGAGTTCCACCACATTATTTTTGAACATTCTTCATACGAAAGGCGACTGTAACAACAGTAGCTTAATCGGTGTGCGTATTCTCCTGTGGATGCGATCGGAGGGACTTCTCCAACGAGAGCCACTGCACCAATGACAGTCTCAAGCCACGGTAGTTTCTGATAAGAGCCGAAATTCACGAGGGGAAAGTGCAGCTCAACCAGTTCTCATTGTCATTTCCAGTAAAGCCACTAATAGTATTATTGTATTCCCAAGCAGTGCTCACAAACGAACAAGAAGTTCCAGGATCGGTGATTCGCATTTCGCAAAGCAAGTGAAAGAACCTGCTTGAAGCTTTATTAATGAAACTATTAAATCGAGACACGTCGTTTTCCCATTCAGAGCTGCGCTGCGTATGCGTAGAAGATAACCGTGAGGACAGATGTCATCTGCATTGAGAAGGACGTCGTCTTTGTTCCATTTTGCAGCAGGAATCGCGCACCACTTACGATAATAGCTACGAACTCCTCTATCAGTGTCTGAATTCGATAGGTAAACGACCGCGGCTCGCAAATTTTCTATGCATGTTGTGAATGGATCTGGTGTCCAATCAGATGTGGCAAAACACATTTTCTTCGGTGACATAGCCCCTTGTGACTGTGCCTCGACCAGTTCGTCTTGCTCCGCTGCCTTGATGTTCTTGCCAGCGATACGAGTACGATATCGAAATCCTTGATACTCAAATCGTCCAACACAGATAAGCGGTACGTATGCAAGTCTCAAGGTACGAGATACACATCTCTTAGCGGCTTTGTAATCATAGCTGAGAGCGGAATGATTTATGTATTCACACGGATGTGGAAATGGAAAGCAAGTGCCCCAGTGCACTGTCCTGTCATAAGATAAACGGAATGACAGGATTCCTAAGTGAATTCTAAACATGGTCCACACGTCAAAGAAAGGCTCATTTGATTCTTGGTGACCTCATTTCGACATCAAGAAATCGAACGCCTTCATGGTGGTGAACCCCACACCTCGAGTAGTGATTGTTAGAATAGGTGTTGTCTCAACGACGTCAATCTGCCAATGCCTGAATGATTCAAGTAAAGAATCGCGACCTGAGCTTGTCCTATCTGGAGTATTTTTGTCTACACTGGACGTATTCATCTGCTTCGAGACTTTTCTTCTACGTCTCCGGGTGCGCTTATTTTGGCCACCAGAGGAATTGGACATTACAGCGCTGACACTATTTCTGGCCATTGCGGCCAATTTAGGCCTGGAAGGATTCTGAAAAATCAAAACAATCAATAACGAGGTCCCAGTCTATATAACAAATATAACTATTCAGCCACTCGCGTAAGGGGGAAGTACAGTGCGATGAGAAACGTAAGCGAAATGTTCTCACAAACTCTGATGCTTTAATCGCAGAACGAAAACGATTTTTCACTTTCAAAAAGATCAACAACAGTAAGCAACAAATCAACAGAACAAAAATAAAACTCACAACATCAATGGAAGTTTACCATGATACAATCATTGAAACTACAAACGATGCATAGAAAAAATACAATGACATTAACCAAAAGAATCAATCACTAAAACTGGTAGAAAGATATGATTCGTATCAGCCACAAGGTTTACCAACAGACAAAGAGAGGGCAGGACAAGGCTAGGAGAATGTGTGAACTTGAGTAATATTATGATGCAAATTCCACATTTTCATTCCAAAATTCTTTTTCAATTTCGTTTAAATTTATCGATTATCGATTTATCCAAACTGCATCGATTCCATGCCGTTGCCCACAACCAACGCTCCTTTCCTGCAAATATCACAACACTGTAAATGTTTCTTTTTAATCAGCAGTGAGCACCTACCCAACAAAGGCTAAAGAAGATGGATCACGAACATCCAAACTGCAAATCTGCACAACATCTATCTAGAAAGACTCAAATAGCCCTTAATCAAAAAAAAATTATTAAGCAAGCTTAATTGGTTCGTGGATGAACTGAGAAAGTGCTACATAAGGAAAAACTACACTGCCGCCTTCGAAAATGAACCTAACAGAAAATAAGCTCGAAAACTGTCCAGCAAGAAATCATGCCAGGGTTCCAGTTTGGACTTGGGAAGTTTGGAAGAAGTCGGGATTAAGCCAAAGAAACATTTCTGGCCGATAGGACCACAGTGTAATCACAAGCTGTGATCAGCTCCACAAAAGCCAGCTTCATAGAAGCGTTGTGTCTTATCAAGCTTAACTCTGCTCATCCCAAAAGAATTTTTGCATTTTCACTGCTTTCGGATCTACATCCAATAGAAGCTACTCTTTGCAAGAAACTTGGTACAAGTGTAATTTGTAACAAAAAAGACTTTATGGCAAACAAAGATACATTCCAACTATCCATACTTGCTATTCAAACTTGCCTCTTTTGCGTCGTGACTCAAATTCCACAAAATCAAGCGACAATCCAATGAAACTGAGGCTAGCTGATATTTATCACCAACTCGGCGCCCTTGAAGAGCTAGAATGGCAAAGTTCTAATTAGGTTATCAATTCAGAGTCTGCTAGAAACATACAGGTGACGGTCCCTGAGTGGACTTTCTTCGATGCGGTGACAGTGGTCCCATTATTAGTACAAACAGCAACAGTAATATAGCCAGATTCTGAGCCAACTGCAATTATCTTCCTTCCACCATCTTCGATAGGATATACGAAAATTGCAGATAAACCGCATTGCTCGATAACAACCTGATAAGAGTTAGAATAAACGGATAGGAACGAATGCGCTTCTCTTCAGTGAATGAATCGAGTTCGGAGAAAGCGGATCGAAAACTCACGCTTTGCTGCCTATGCAAATGTAAAGTTGGCTCGAAACTGTAGCGTCCATGTCTACCAGAAGTGGCAGCTAAGTCAATTTCTAATTCTCCTTGGGCGCCAACTCGTAAAGATACCTGATTATCGTAATTTACTTTATTCCTGATTACGCAGCAGCCAATGATGATACCTGTACGGGAAAAAGAATCTCAGAGTTGATGTTGATGCGCTTCAGTAACTGTAATGCGACCGTCGGTTGGTTTTCTTCCAAAACTGGCTGTATAATTCTAAACCGAAGTTTGACAAGTAGTCTGAAATCACATAACGACTTAAGCTTACTCTAAGACTCCATCAGCATAGGCAACGACGGCATGGTGATTGGTGCATAGTACATTTTCATACTAAACAAATTAACAATCGCGCAAATATGAATGAAATCGGGAAAAAGTCTACATCTACTTCAAGAAAAACTGTCAATAAGCATAACCATCGATCTTCTTGTATGGAAATATGACAACATACATTACTATTTGTGGCAATGGAGACGACTCTAGCAGCACAGTGATCTCGATAGTACACAGAAGACGTAACGTATTTTGGATCAGAAAGCTGAATGTCTAGAACAAAACTTGATTACGAGTAAGCCAAGTCTCTTCTAGTATCTTTACCACCCACCAGATGCTGTTACTAACCAGGTCGTCACAGCGCTTTTTTCGCCGCCAACATACAGTACCCACTCGAGGCGAGAAAAGGCATGAGAGCACATACATGTCGGTTTAGCTTCGTTGTATAATTTGATTGCGTCCTTCCTTTCTGAACGTCATTGAATAGAATTTTACGGAAAGTGATTCAACATATATGACATACCACCACCGTCAGTTCCCAGTGAAAAAATCGTAATTGAGTGATCTGCGGCTACGGTGGATAACAAAGCCCCATAGGAGTCTTCATGCATCAAACATATGTCGACGATATCCGTACGATGTGGGGCATCGCTGATCTTTTTCACGGACTTCAGGTCCAAATGAGCAGTGACGAGACGCTAAATCGAAACAAAAATTATGCTGAATCACCTTAACTTCAAGCGAAACTCACCCCTTTCGCGATAAAATCGAAAAAATATCGTGTGCGGAGGTCTGAACAATTTTGAGCTGAAAAATACCAGTTTCTATGAGCTCCTCCGCAGTCCACTTGATCAAGTATGGACTGAGTGTAGTAATCCACGACATAGAAGATGTTCTCAAAACCTTCGGTAAGACTACAGAAAGGATGCATGTCCAACACAAACTCACACCACTGAACGCTAATATCAATGTGTTGTCAGCATTCATTGCCACAGGGACGAGATGCGGTAGATAGGGACAAAGCGGCCTTGCACTGAGTATGGCTACTTTTCCGTTAGGCTCTGGAATCGACATATTTCGAGCATCAATTAGGGCTGATCAGTTAACTGATAGAGTGTTTCTGTTGATTTATAATAGCTACCGTATACCCACAACATCCTATGCTAGACCACGTCTCGAACGACACAATACGAAGTATAATGAAAGTCGCCCCAATTGTGAAGAAGATACAAGAGAAACGTCTTGGATGGTATGGAAACGTAAACAGAAGAGATGAGGATCACATAACAAGATTAGCTCTATCAGTAGACGTACCAGGAAGAAGACAGAGAGGAAGGCCTAAGCTAAGATGGATGGATAAAGTCAACGCAGATTTAAGAGAACTTGCGCTAAGCGAACACCAAGCAAAAGACAAAGAATTATGGAGAAGACAAATAAGAGTAGCAGACCCCAAACATAATTTTCTGGGATAAATGCAAAGATAAATAAATAAATAAATACCCACAACATCCTAAAAACTATTAGGTTGGTGCAAAAATAATGCGCGTTTTGCGAGTTCTCACTTTGACGCGCTATAACTTTTTAAGAAATCCATATTTTTCAGTGCGGCAAAGTTATCAGAGGCATCAAACCTCTCTCTATACAGCGCACATTAATTTATGTTACTGCCCCAAATCGGTGGAAAAATATGGATTGATAAGCAGAAAATTTTTTTTCGGAAACCTCGTATTTAACTGATCATAACTTCCTTCAGGATTTCTCGGTATGAATGATAAGTTGACTGTCTTGTAGCCGCAAGCCAGAGTATAAAAAAGTGCAAAAGGGCTCAAATAAAGAATATTTGCGAAAGGGAAAAAATAATATTCAAAATAGTCCGCTTTTTTCGCGATTTTTTCGTAGCCCTCAAAATCCCAAAATATGGAGATTATTGATTTTCTATGTACTGAATAGCTTCCATATTTCTGCAAAAACTGTCAGTAGGAGGCCCACCCTTACGCTTACAGAAATGAGCAAAACTTTGGCGATTGCCCTTTTCAAAGGAAATCTATGGGCCACAGAATGGCCAAAACCATCACTCATGTTGAGGCGCCGAGATCTCAGTCTAAGTAATTTCTAGGAAAACAGTAAAGAGTGCATTATGTAGAAAATTTCCACTGCATACAGTAGTTAAATTTTCAAAATGCCTTTATTCGCGCTTGAATTCTGGCCCAAAAAGTAAGTGCAATGAAATTCTGGTTTTGAGTGCTCTTGTATGAAGCTCTATAAATTTTTAAGGAATGAGGCTAGAAGCTTCTTTCAACCGCCATTGAATAGAGCATGAAAAAAGCGTCTTGACAAGTGCTGGGTAAGTTTCATAGGAGAAACTTCGATGGAGATAAGCTATCTTGAAACAAGGGCTAGAAAAACGCAGGGCCCGGCGCGAGGTGGGCAAATGACAAGCTGGAAATCGTTTTGGGGTCAAAAGGCAAAGGGGATGTCGTTTTTGCGGGATCCGGGGCGGAGCCCCGGAAGAAGATTCGAAGTGCAAGCAAAAGAAGGTCGAATCATGCTTACCTTATACATCTAATTCATCGGAAAATAGTTTTCATAAACCTCAACGCACAGCAGACTTCGCGCGCACTACGCCGCGTTGCCGCTAATTACCGCGCGCGCGACGTCGCATGAGCGATGCCGTTGAACAGCATGATTACATGACCAGTTCTCAATGTAGGCGTAATGATATAGCACCAAATTATGTAAGCGAACAAAGGGAGGCTAGTAGAAACAAAGCATGAAATGTTATGAAAAACTTATGTGAATGGGAGGTGTAATAAGCATTTTTTCCAAAAATTTCGCAAAACTGGTAAATGAAGATGTGAACTCAAATGGCTCGTTTGCAGCGCACGGGGTGACCATACGGTATGAAACTTGGTAGTACATGAACACGGGCCTGCAGGGCTTATCTTAGAAGCTTCATTGAAAAATTATGTTAATGAAGGTTGTGGCAAGCTTTTTTCTGAAAATCCCACTATCAAGAAAATGGAAAAATGGCTCGTTTGCAGCGCAGAGAAAACGAAATCGCGCGAGACTTGGTGTGTATACGCGCAGTAGGACTAAGGAACAATGTATGAAAAATTATGAAAAACTTATGTGAATGAAGAGCGTGCTTAACTTTTTTCCAAATTAGGTGGGCAACTGCCTACCTAATGCCCACCTGAGGTGGGCAAAACTTTCAATTCACATAATTTTTTCAAAATTTTTATATAAATCTGTTGTTCACCTAAAGTTTACTATATGGCGAGATTTTGGTTCCGAAACTACTCCTCTTGTCTTTGTTAGAGCCCAAAATCGCATCAGCAGCCTAGCTTTCTAAGATGGAAAGCGCGCCCCAGTCAATCGATACGCGCGGGAACGGCGTCTCTCACAAGGGAATGGTCAGAAGTCGAAGTGGCCAATTCATACAAGCTGCATACCATTAGATGCAGCATAAAACCATGATTCTAAATCTGTCTTCCTTATCTGCAGAGCGCTTTTGTGGACGAAATTATAATCTGTTGCAGGCCATTATTTTGCTAAAAAATTGTGCGTTAAAGTGGAAACTTGGCGGTACAAAGCCATTTTCGGCTCAGTGTTTGACCAAAATATGCAACTAGGTCACTTCATATGACCCGTACGCAAAGTTGAGCGTAAGAGCAATAATGTGCCTAATTTTGCAATTTTTGTATACGGTTCTTTCGCAGTAAAGCTGCTCATAACTTCGCCTACAAAGGTGCTCTGCGGATATGGAAGACAGATTTGAAATCAGGATTTTATGCTGCATCGAATGGTTTACAGCTTGTATGGATTGGCCACTTCGACTTCTGACCACTCCCTTGTCAGTCCTATGACTGCGTTCCTTTGATATTTTTTCATACCTTCATCATTTTCCTTGCTTATTCTTCTTCCTGTTTTCTATCTTGATATAGGTGAGGAGTAATTAGAGGAGTTTGAGCATTTTGGGCGCTTTTGAGCGCTTTTAGGCGAAGTGTGGCCGGTGCTCTCGTTCCACAAGCACAAAGCGTCATTTTTGGGCTCAAGGGGGTATTCGTAAAAACTATTGGGGTCAAAGGGGAATTCGTTTTGGAAAACCCCGTCTGCCCACCTCGTGCCGGGCCCTGTTCAAAGGAAATCTATGGGCCACAGAATGGTCAAAACCATCACTCATGTTGAGGCGCCGAGATCTCAGTCTAAGTAATTTCTAGGAAAACAGTAAAGCATGCATTATGTAGAAAATTTCCACTACATACAGTAGTTAAATTTTCAAAAGAATGCCTTTACTCGCGCTTGAATTCTGGCCCAAAAAGTAAGTGCAATGAGATTCTGGTTTTGAGTGCTCTTGTATGAAGCTCTATAATTTTTAAGGAATGAGGCTAGAAGCTTCTTTCAACCACCATTGAATAGAGCATGAAAAAAGCGTCTTGACAAGTGTTGGGTAAGTTTCATAGGAGAAACTTCGATGGAGATAAGCTATCTTGAAACAAGGGCTAGAAAAACGCGCATTACTTTTGCACCAACCTAATACAATAAGTTATTCCGAAACCGGTTTTAAAAGCCTCTTCGCAGACCTAGCAAAAGATATTTCGCTATTTGAGATCGGGACATTGAAAAGCGAAAAATAGATAAAACTTACTTAGTACTACAACAGCTAGGATTCCGTTTCGACCAACGATGTTCAGTTCGCATTCGCGGATCCAGAGGTGAGTTATCGGATGATGTTTGAAGACAGAGTTCAACTGAAATCTCAAATAATTGTAACAGTAAATGTCACAGAATTTGCCTTTCCTTAGCATGCACTTACCACAGGCGATGAATGTACATTCAAGGGCGATGTAGCACCATCAAATCCAGTGACGTAGAATATCTGCCCACTTACGGTACCCAAAGCAATAGAGAATCTCTGTCCAAATTTGTGTATAGCAAAAGTGGTGAATTTTATTTCTTTGCGCTTCGCTCCACGTTTGATTGCAGGTTCAAAGTTGAGCACACAAAAACAGGAGTATGATTCAAGATTGATTATCTCCTAGGTAGCAGATATTTCAGAGCAAATGGAGCAAGACTGCAAACTCACAGCAAGAATACTTTCATAGAAAACAAAAGCAAATGAGCCATGAATGTGCACCGCAGTTATTTTTTTCTTGATGTTAATACAGCGAATTTCTGAAATAAATCACTTCAAGAAAATCTCCCAATAGAATAATTTGAGACGTAACGTGGGAAAAGGACCTTGCTTGTTTCTGAAAATTCGTAATGCACTGTCCTGAACTACTGCAGCAAAGTCTGAACTCGGAGAACCTAGTGATGTTTTTGACAGAAACCGCGCCGAAGATTCGTCTTCGTATCTGAAAATCAAAAAGGATGAATCTCGGAAAAGCATTGTAAATGAGAACGAAGAATGATATATTGTTCCGAAAGTTTTATCCGTTTTTTTCATCGCTCACTAAACCTCATAGAACACCTATCCATAGATGAATTACTTTGCTCTCTGATCTACCCTGTCTTTGCAATGTTATCGCCATGGCTTTTTGAGCAGCTCAGCAATAACGCCAAATCTTTCCTGAATTAAAGAAAAACTTTTGTCCTGATGATTTCAAAAAGCGGTGGTAACCCTTATGTAGAGCAAACCTTTGGCTACATTGTAACCATTTTAGATCAATGGGCTATGTTTACCAAGTCCGTTATAATTTATTTGATAAAAACCGCGACATTTGATTATGTTTACCGCGTAAAAGTATAGAAGATTCCAAAAAGCTGCTTTTTCAAAGCAAATCAAACTTGGTTATATTGCATAAATAATGTTTAATAAGAATCGCGTTTCATGACTCTGCCAAAAACAGAGACCTCCGAAAAAATAACTCCTGTAGCTAAAAAAAAACAAATTAGGAGAATCTAAAAATATTACCTTGTTGTCCGAGAATTGCTCTATTTGATCTATATTAACCCTTGCCGAAACTTTAAAATGAAATTTTCAAAAATTAGCCTAATTTTGAACCAATGAAATTGATGGATGGAAAATTTTGGCAAAAAAAAGCATACAAGATTGTCGTTCCAAAATATATCCATGAGAAAGAGAAGGCTGCATCGAATGCATGTTGAAACTCATTCTCATTCAGGTCTTCATTATGCGTGTTTTTATAGTGGTTTAGTGAAAAAACGGACATAACTTTCGGAACGACCCAATATTTGGCTAAAGTCTAAAGAGATTGTAAAGTCACCATTCTATGAAAATAGAGATGATGGTCTAGTTTTCAAAGGCACCGTCAGGCTTATGATGAGAAGCTTTAGCTGAGCCATTTCCGGCAGTCCAAGTGACTCATTCGTGGTAGAGCAATTCGACTCACTTCAGCCAGGGTCAAGCGTGTGATGCGACCGCACCTAAGATGGGGAGGATCGTAACAGGAAGCATAACTGGCTAAACACCGTAAGCTAAGAAGGTCAAAGAGCAGATGAATCTACTTGTTCTTTACAATGAATTTATCAAAAAGTGGAATCAGAATTGAAGGTAAAAATGTTTTAGAGATTCTCAAAAAAGCATTTCCAAGAATTCAAAACACTTTTGAAGGCTGTATGATTTGATAAAAATTCTAACTGTACCGGCTGGCCCAGAAATCTTGCTTCTGAAGCCTCCCTGAAGTCTCACACACTCGACAAAAACGTATATCTTTACCGAAGATGACCACCAATCATTTTTACATCTTTTTGTAATATCTTTCACAGGCACATACAATTTATCTGTGCTTTCGAGATGCTCTGCTATATCTGTGCAAAATCTGGTCTTATTTCGTGATCTGTAGATTTTTTTATAATTGTATGCATGGTGACAAAAACTGAAGGGGGGGGGTCTATCTGGGTCGCATCTGAATTTCTCGGTATTGAAGCTTGTGCAATTGTGCTGTAATACGAGGCGATCCTCCTACTTTCTATTATATTTCAAGCTGTCTCATAACTTTTCCGATGAGTTACAAAATTCCAAGCTCAAAAGTCCCAGTTGTTGCATTTTAGGATCGAATCTGGATTTGCGAGAGTCATCTAGATTTTTTCGACCTCATTGCTCTTCAATGGCTAAAACTTTTTCCGTGGATAGTCTGGGCACTATACTACACAGCCTGTTCATTGCAGCCTCTCAGTCTTTCCCTGAACTTAGTTACGAATTTTCAAACCGTGCTCTTGCACGTTTTTGACATCGTTTTGAATGGCGCCAAAACGGTTTTCTTCGGAGGAAAATTTGTGCAAAAGGTAGAAAGTAAGCTTTTTAGTCAAAAATATTTTTAAAGGCAGCGTCCAGGCAGATCTGGACCTATGGGGATTTTACGTGGAAAGTACTTTTGGGGCCCCAACTAAGGCACTGCCCAAGCCGCAGCGCAGGTAATGCTTCAACGGCTGAATTCCTCTCGAAACTGGCCGCGGTCGTATTCGCATGGATTCATGGCAGTTTCGCGCCAGGATCCACGCATTGCGCCGTGAATCCATGCGAAATACGATCGCGAGGGCCAGTTTCGAGGGAGATATCTCAGCCGTTAGAGCACTACCTGAGCTGCAGGTTGAGTAGTGGCTTAGTCAGGGCCCCAAAATTACTAATCACCTGAGATCCCCATGTGTCCAGACTTGCTTGGACGCTGCCTTCAAGGCTTCAAAGATATCGCTTTTCTCCCTACAAAAAAGGTGTCGCGTACAGGGATAGAACACGAGATGGCATCATAGTCTGAAACGTTTTAGTTTGCAGAACCATAGTCGATATCTTTCGGTACCACTGAGACATGAAGTTATGCCAAACATTCATAAATGACAGAAGAATTTATTATCTGTCACTAGAAAATGAGTTGTTATAAAACAGTCAATCACAATGAATGAAGTGAACCGTTCATACTGCTGAATCCTTCTTGATTGTTATTAAATTTCTTTAGCGTCTAGGTAGAGTACAGCTTAAATATATCATTCAGATCAAAAGCGACATTATGCTTTGTCAGGTGATGTTCTTTCTATCCACATTTTCTCGACCCCAATAAGCATAGCTAAATCTTTGCAAAATTTCACCATTGTTTGTAAGGTTTTTGAGTGGTGGAGCATCACTTGCACTCTCTCCTAATTTATAAGTGCTTATTTTCTCTGAACCTAAAATTTTGATTGAGGTTCATTGGCAGGCATCTTTTGAGATTAACTCGATTATACGGGTTCAAAAGTAGGGGATGGGGCAGGTGGGGGGGGGGGGGGGTAAATGAGGCTCTTGGATCGCATCAACACGCCTGACTCAGATTCCAGCTCAGACCGTACCCTCATCGATGCTTTGCAGTGCTCGAGCAAGCAAGTCAGATCCCTCGAGTACAGTACGAAGTGGTGAGAGCCACAGTTTGCAACAAATTTCTCGTCTGCCAACTAATCAATCAAACTGGGCGGCAAAGGTAGTTACTTACGTATAAAATGAGAAACCTCAGATCAAACTAGACTCTGTCTTTACAGTTGATTGATGATCGGAGCAGGGGTAGGGGAACGAAAGCCGCCAGTTTGAGCCGCCTTTCGCGGCTAACTGGTCCTTTCGCAACGTTGTTGCATGTCGTTCCAGGACCAGCAGTCCGCGCAAGCGGCCGAAGCTGGCGGCTTTCGTTCCCCCACCCTCGGAGCAGCATATAAGCTTTGATTCAACTGGCTTGGCGGCTGGAAGGCGGGTCTTTGAGACATAATTAAGATCGTTTGCGCCTGCGACGCAGTCTGTGTTTCTCCCGCACGCCTGCTCTCTGATAATTACTTAGCCTTGATGGTGACGGAGCCCCGGTTTCTAGCCGCCAAGCAAGCTGAATCAAAGGTTAGCACGCGTGTTCGAAATCGAAAATCATGCTAACCTCAAGATTTGTACGCTTCCATTGCTCATTCTTGTGAACGACTTTACAGCAGTAACAGGATCCCACGATAGAATAGCTTCATTTTCAAGGTCACTCTTATAAACACGTACCAGGTTCCCATAGTCAGATGCCACATACTGCAAGAGCAACAAAGCTATAAATCAAGGCAAGCGATTGCGCGAAGGAACGGAAGTGGTGAACCGACAAAACTTTTACGACTACTCACCACTGACTCGCAATCAAGAAGAATCGCTCTGATATATCCCACCCTAAGCACTTGTTTACAAATTAGTTGCAATCCCGTCGAAGATATTCTCCACATCATCAACGTCTGAAAAACTGCTCAATGAATCAAGGTATAGTAGTTGTCTCTGCAAGCAAAACCTTTACACCGAGTGCGCTCCTATACACTGGGAGACACTGACGATACACTTAAGTCAGAATCAAGAAACGTAATTCAAAGTTGAGAATAAGTATCCGGTTCTATAAAAGTGCATACTCTGGCCTACATTTCTCGTAGCGATTATTCCATTAGATCGACTTCTATAGTTCTTTAGAGCAAAACTTCGGCTTTCTAGTGATTTGTTTTCTCTTGATGCTGAGGTCCAATAGCTTTTCTATGAAGAAGTGTTTATTTTTTTTGTGTTGGCAGTCTTTGCTTACAAAGAAAAAGCCACTTTGTATGAAATGACTATAAGCTCTAAAGTCGACTGCACGAAATCGCCCGGGCCGCTGTAGGCTAAACGTACGCGAGCGTGTCTGCAACGCGGCTGCCGAGTACGGGCGTTTTGATGATGCGCTCGAATGCCAATGTTAGCCTGCAAGAGGTACGTGGATAGCGATCTTGGGGCCCTAACTACGCCACTGACCAAGCGGCAGCTCAGATAGTGAGTGCACTAATGGCTGAGATATTCGTCTCGAAACTGGACCCCGGTCGTACTTCGCATGGATTCATGGCGCAACCCATGGGTCCTCGCGCGAAATGGAAAAAAAATGCGAGTCTGCGTGCTCATCGACTCACAGATATTAGACCTCGGGCGTACTTCACGCGATTCCAATCGCGAGGCGATTTGGCAGTAATCCAAATGTTTGTAACTCATCGTGAACACATTCTAAATGTAAGAAAGTAGGCCACTATATCAGTTTACGAGAGTTATACTGGCTATGCATTTATGATCGGCCAGTGTGGGATTTAAAAAATCTAGCAAATAGCCAAATCGCGTGAAGATGCCCGAGGCCTTACGACATGATCATTTAGGTGTTTGCGCGCTTGCCCTGAGTTCCTTAACAAGAAAAATCTCTTGGTGATATTCTAATATCCATCACATTTTTAGGCGAATTTCTTCAGGCTATTTTTCATATTGAGTAGCATGTCAATCAAACAAATAAAATAGCCTATAACTCGCTTCAGAATGATGCTCGCTACAAACTGCATCTGGAACCAGCATTCGAGGCCTGACAAGGGTATGGTCAGAAGTCGAAGTGGCCCAGTCAAGCAAGCTGCCTATCGTTCGATGCAGCATTCAAAACAGTCTGCATTCCATATCTGCTTAGCGCCCTTGTGGACGAAGTTATGAGCAGTTTTACTGCAAAAAAAATCGTACATGAAAATTGCAAAATTGAGCACATTGTTGCACTTCCTACTCAACTTTAGTCTTCAAGAATATAAAGTAGCAGTAGAACATGACTCCGTACTACTGCCGAATTTGCTCTTCGCATGCACGATTTCTCAGCAAAAAACGGCCTTCAAAGGCAGCGGCTCGGCAGATTGACAAATTTGGGATATTCGCCGTTCTCGGTTCCCGATGAGCTAAGTCCAACTGTGTTTTGCAGCTTCAAAAGATCAATAAAACCCTTTTCCAGATGTGAAAAGTCCTATTTGGGCGGACGGCGTATGCCTGTCCTCTAGAGCGCGATTACCTTGTAAGTGGAAACACTGTACCCATTTCGGCGGCATTTGGATTATTTGCTCCAGCTGCCACTTTCGAGACCGCCCAAACAGCACTTTTCACGTCTGGAAAAGCAGGTTATTGATATCGTTTAAAACTGCAAAGCACAGTCTTGAACTTAGCTCATCCAGGGGAACCGAGGACGAAAAAATCTCAAAGTTGTCATTCTGCCAAGCCGCTGCAGCTCATCCAGGGGAACTGAGGACGAAAAAATCTCAAAGTTATCATTCTGCCAAGTCGCTGCCTTTAACGGCTCATAACTTCGCCCCCATAGGCGCTAGTCAGATATGAAAAACATATTCGAAGTCGGTGTTTCATGCTGCATCTAATAAAATGCAGCTTGTTTGGATTGGTCCTGGCCATTTCCTAGCGGGTCAAAGATGTGTGTCTTCTAATCAAAGGTAGAATAAGTTGGTGCCTTTCCTTGCGGTGCACATTAGTCTCAGAAAGTTGACGATGGAGACAAACACCGTGAACTTGGTGACGCGCTGAAGAGAATTTTTATTGAGGAAAGGTTAAATATGCGGTCGAGCATGATGGGAGTAGATGAATCGTCCACCAAGACAGACTCATGAAAGATTGTACAACAAAAGGGCACTCACCTCGTCTTGCCCTGCTGTGAAGATGTTCTTTTGGTCATCTACAGCGACCACATAAGGCCGGGCCGAATGAGCATAAGCTTCCATAGTGTTGCCCATCTGCCTGTAAAAGGATGTCTTTCTCAAGGTTTGTGCATGCCAGGTGTATTTTCAGAATATAAACCTCTTTCTAGCACTACGAGTACAGCGTCAGGTCATCCAATGGAACGCGACAAGCGGCTGGAGGAGAAACCCCAACAAACGCTCTTTTATGTTCCGAGAAATCTTCGAGTCAAAGCTAGGGCGTTTGCCGGACGCGCACTTGAGCCCGACGAGTGCGAACAGATGCTAGAGCTACCATTTCAACAAGGAAAGCGGGACGGCTGAAGAAGCTAGTTCACCATAGGCACCAGTGGCGTACCCAGGATTTCCGCTCGGCGGGGGGGGGGGGGGGAGGGGGGGGGGGAGCGCGACAAAAATTTTTTTCGAATGAAGGTGCGTGGCTTTAGCCACGCACTCCGAAAAAATTTTAGGGGTGCTTCTCAAAGTTTCTGCGGTTCCCCAACCCCTAAAAACGCCCCCGAAAAAAATTTTTTTACAAGGCTCATTTGAATTTTAAAAAATTTTTAAAAATTATTTTAATTATTTACAAGTATAAGCAAGTCACTTGCACATTTTTATAACCTTTATAAGTAACTTTCAAAAATTTCGCGACCCATTCTCGGGGGGGGGGGGCCTCGGTACGCCACTGAGGAAAAACAAGCGGTTATAGCAGGTCATTCTACATATCGACTTATACGCTTCATGAATGGAGAAGCACGACAGGAGTCATGTGGGACAAGCTGATGCCACGAGACCTCAAGTCGTTGATATGCCGCACAGTGATTCGGCCGACGGCGCGCGAATGCTGACCCTGTACCCACAACGAAGAAAGATTGGCATGATGGAGACGCGAATGCTGAGATGGACTATAAGAGCTACCATGCTGGACCACATCACGAATGGCACACTACGACGCATGAGAGGGCTGCCAAGAAGATGCAAGAACGAAGCCTTTGATGGTATGGACACGTGAGCCGGCGAGATGAAGACCACATAACCAAATTTGGTCACAACAAGGAGCGTACCAGGAAAGAGAGCAAAAAGAAGACCTAAGATGCGATGGCTAGACAGAATCAAAGCAGATATGAGAGAGCTTGGAATAATCAGCAAGCCTTGGATCGAGATTCAGAAAACTCACAAGAGCAGCGGATCAGTGATGGGAAAGAATGCAAGGATAAAAAAAATTTCAGAATATATAGCTCTGTAAAGCCAGCAGTAAGATGGCAGACTGATACTGACTGACGCAATGCTTTTCAAAAAAAATTTGAAAGAATCTAGCCAAATAGCATTCCTATATTAGAAATGCCCGATATCGCTTCTATAGCACCGAAGAATTCAAAGAGTTGTACCTAGAAAGCGAAAGTAAACACTATTATTGCGCGTATACTTTTTCATGCGGCTTTCTTCCAAAGACTGTTGTGACCTGTTGCTTAAACGGAGCGTTCAAAAAATGAGAACGCAGCATAGATATACACAGCGTGTCTCCAAATAAAAAGTCCCCACTGCTTGATTTAGAATATCTCACTAGTTCTGATTTCTATTGCCAATCATTAGGTACCATTCTGTAAAGCTGGCTTCAGCTTGAATTTATGGTATACAGTGAACCAAAAAACGCTCTTCGCACTGTAGTTACGGGAGCCCTTTTCGAGAAAGCGCACTATTATGAATCAGATCTTGTTATGAAAAGAACTCACAATCAGAAAAGTTGAGGATTTTGTTAGCAAGTAAGTCAGCGTCATTAATTCCAAAAATAGTAATTGCACATTACTGTGAATCTTTGACCAGAATTCACCTCTTACACCAAAAAACAATGTTCTCAAATTCCTAGGAAACCTGAACACCATCTAAAGTGCCTTAGACTCAATATAAAATTATCTGGTGGAATCAGCGCGCCTACCACTCCGCGAAAAGTTCCAGTGAGCAGATATATTGTTTAGTAGCAAAATCACAATCCGAAACATTCCACATTGTTTCGACTTCGTTCGACGGTGCCCATACTCCTTACAAGAGGATAACTGAGTAGCTGTTTTCAGCCAAAACAGCTACCTACTAATCTTTGCTATTAAACGAATCTATTAGGTCTTTTTATTTGAGATCAAGTTACCGAGATATGGAAATTTTTGGTAAACCCCAACTTACGACTTGTGGCATACGAAATCGCAAATTTCAGACTTCAATACAAAATTTGTTTTTACCAGAAGCACGCTTACCACTGCTGTAAGATAATCAGAATTGAAGAAGCAGCCGGCGATCATCACGGAATCATACAAAAAGCTTGAAAATGCAGTTTGTACAACTACTCGCTCCAGTTCAACATGCTTATAGTGAAGTAGTAGGAATGCTTACGGATAATGGAACAGTGTGAGACCCAGATAACTGGACCTTCAGGATATGAGGTTTCTTTAATCGTTGACGACCGAACCATTTTGGGCGAAACTCCCACTAACTTTTCTCGTGCATTTGGCCCGTGCTACGCGCTTATGCATAAAATCATCATGTGGGAGTCTTTTTGACGCAAATGTATATCACAGAGTCTTACCAGGAATTACACATATCACAATTTTCGAATAGCTTTCTCCTCCAGTAAACCATGCAGTGGCTATGTCTGGGAAATATCCCCTCGAAAAAACGTTATAGCACTGTGTTTCTTGCCTGCATCCTTGTCTGCTCTCATTGTCAGAACAGCTATGCAGAGTTTTCGCCTTCTCGGGAAAACGTAATTAGCATATATTTACCACATCAAAAATGGAATGAATACCCAAATTTGCGGTTTAAACTCCTGAACAGCATCAGACAGTCGAAGGGATACCTCCGGCGGGCATATGGCGCGAGTCTGCCACTTCGCGCTCCGGAGCCCTGCCATTTTACGCATTTTTGTGCTCCGGGGCTCTCCCAAAAGTGGCGCACCTCCGGAGCAGAGATTTGCGCGTCGCGGAGAGGGGTCCCATTCATTCACCGTGACGTCACGGTGACGTCACAAACAGGACGAATGGGACCCCTCTCCGCGACGCGCAAATCTCTGCTCCGGAGGTGCGCCACTTTTGGGAGAGCCCCGGAGCACAAAAATGCGTGAAATGGCAGGGCTCGGAGCGCGAAGTGGCAATCCTCCGCTGGGGAAAGCCCGCGACCCTGCCACTTCTGCTCCGGAGGTATCCCATCGACTGTCTGAGGCTGCTGCGATGCCCTGTGTTCTAAATGACAATCAGACCACCACCAGTAATACTGCACAGAAGTTACCTCAGATTTTTCATTTACACCTAAAAAAACTAGCAGGCATTTCGTGCGTATGCACGAAATTGCTAAACGGTAGTCAGAGCTTGCGTACGAGCATATGCACACGGTCGTCAACGTGTCAAAGGCAGCGTCCAGGCAACTCTGGGCCTATCGCGATCTCACTTCGAGGGTATTCTTGGAGTCATAACTAAGACACCGCCCAAGCGGCAGCTAAAATGGTGAGCTCACGAGATATTCGCCTCCAAATTGGACCCAGGGACCGTATCCGCATGGATTCATGGCGCGACACATCAGTTTCGCGCGAGGACCCACGCGCGTCGAGCCATGAATCCATGCGAATACGATCCCGGGGTCCAGTTTGGAGGCGAATATCCCAACTGTGAGTTCACCATTCGAGCTGCCGCTTGGGCACTATCTTAGGCTTGATACATACCTAGCGTGGGGTGTCTATACGTAGAGGTGGCAGCAACGCTTTTAGTGCGTATTGATTACAGCGGAGTGACGCCGCTGCCTAGCGCTGAGAGCTAACGCGAAAGGTCATGTCCATACCTAGCGAGTTATTTTTGAGCAGCGCTGCGCAGCGCTGCTCAAGCTGATCAGCGCTGCAACTAGATTTGCAGTTGAGTTACGCTCACTTTTTCTGAGCTTATCTCAGCTGCTTTTACTTAAATCTACCTACTTTTTACCAATTTTCTAGCCACAATTAGCAATATCAGAACAAAGTTCGTCTTTCTGGCATGAATAAGTCATGAATGCAGTGTAAAATCATCAAACTAAAGTTTTAAAGACGGATATGGGAAAATAGCGAAAGGAATGGCGAAACCAACTACAGGTTGGCAACAATTTCAGTAATTGAAGAAACTGACGGTGTGGCGAGATAAAATCTTGCCTACAGGGAACTTGACCATGTCATTATTACCTGAGGGACACTCTCATATTGATGGGACCATTGTCCTGATAAGGGTCGAATGTAAGTAGTACACTTAAACTGCTTCCTTCAAAAATGCTTCAAAGTAATTGGCTACCTTTTAATGATTTAAATAATGAAAAATGGAAAATGAAGAACTTCTTACAAGGTAGACTATGATTTTTAGATCAAATCAAACTCAGAACATTCGAGCTAACCCTTCCTTTTTGACATTATAAAACTTGACGAAAGCGCAGTTATTTTGAATAGTTTTTGCACCCAACATGCACGCAGGAAGCAGCCGATTGCAGCGCTGCATACCTCGCTGATCAGCTGAAGCAGCGCTGCCTTCGCTGCTCGCTGGTTTTGTCCATACCTAAGCAGCGAGGTATGTATCAAGCCTTAGCTAGGGCCGGACAGGTCCCGTCGGACATCTGCGACAAAAACGCCTTCCAATAAATGCAAAGGCTGAGTACCTGCTGCAGTGTCCGCGCGGGACCCTCCCAGTTCCGGCGACTGGTCCTCTACCCAAAACTGGGTAGAGGATTATGTCGCCAAGTAAGAGGGTCGCGGACAATGCAGCAGATACTCAACACTGGCATCTAGGAGTGTGTATTTGTTGCACATCCATGGCGGGACCTCCCACTTTCGGCGACATATAGTCCCCTACCCCCCAGTTTTAAGTCTCAATTGGCGTAGAGAATTCGAGTGCGAAACGTACAGCGAATCGTTCAGTTCGTCAGCTTCGAGGATAGGAGCGATATCGTAGACCAACAAGGCTCGATCGTCACATACACAGCATAGATGAGAACCAAATAACGATAGGCTGTATACTAGACCCTAGACTGAAGAATGGGAGTCTACATTTACACATGTCATTTAACTTACATGCTCGAGATCGTAGTACGCTTCCTCGCGAGACCAAGGTCGGCTGATGATGAGCTCACCCGACCACGCGCCGGCGACAATGAGGAGGTTTTTCCATGCTGTTCCGGTGATAAGGCACGAGATTCTGAAATTATAGGCCTCAGGAAGAAACACAAGAGACTAAAAAACAGCCATACATCGCAACTAATTTTTTAGGTACAACGTGGCACAATCTGTAGAAATTCCCAAAAACAGCATTCAGACTTTCGGCAAGAACATCCAAGGACGAGGTGACAACGATTACCTGTAATATCCAAAACTCATTGCTGCATACCAAAAAGACGCCCAAGAAGTACCGATATGCAAGATTTGACCATGTACAACATGTATACGGTTTAACTCGAGTTGCTTGTGCCAGCGCCCCGCTAGCGCCATGCTAGAGCGGTCGATCGATCAATACGATGAGTCCGCGCGCGGCTGGCACGGCGCTGGCATACTGGCAGCTCTGAACGGCCTACACAAGCAGCTTCAATTAATGCAAGCTCATGCAAGTCCAGCGCTGATTACGATACTGGACAGTTGTGGAGTCGAATTTCTCGGGGGGGGGGGGGGAGAGGGCAAGGATAAATCGTTTGTGCTACCGCTTGAATAACGCCTCAGTCAAGGCCCCAAACTCTTTCTTTAAAAATCCCAGGTGCCAGATTTGCTTTGATTTGCTTTGCTGCATACGCTGGTGTATATCCTCGCCAACGTTCAACACGGAACTCATTGGGAACAAAATACGCGCTCGCACTGCCGCTCGGATCGCCTACGCTATACTACGGGCACCCGTTTTCGCGCGAATAAATTTCAACATAACCAGGGGCGGTATTTATCAATCTCGCACTCGCTTTGCGAAAAATTGTTAACGAGAACCCCCACAAGAGCGCCCTTCCCGCAATTTATGGGAAGCGCGGCCCAAACGGGCAGCGCCACACGACTCGTCGAGATGGGGAACTGCTGCCCGATTGCCGTGCCCGACATGGCCAAACTTGCCAGATCGAATCATATTCTTCAATAGACAGGAGCCCGGTCACCAGCTTGGCTTCATATATCGCGGGTGCCAGTGCCCGCGCCTGTACGGGTTCCTTCATATACGCAGCGCACGCCGCGTAAAAAAATTGAAAATGACTATCTCACTTGGAGCCCAATATTTGGAAACATCATCTAAATTTGGCCCAAAGGGGTTATTAGGCACTCTGGTTACGAAAATGATGCTCTTATGCTAGTGCTCTTTTATTAGACTTACCGTAAGTATACGATGGTAGGCCAAAACACCAATGTGCCACTCTTTACACAGTGCCTATCTGCATTGTTAACGAATATCGTGCTACCAACGTCAGCTTACTTCGTTAATGACCTTCTCTCCTCTCCGACCCCTCAATACGGACCCCCCAGGTGTGGCATGCCACACCCCTCGCTTGACCCTGGTCATATACTTATTTTTACCAACAGCAGAATCACAAAGGAAAATACGCTGCGGGCACAAATTGTACACCAGATACTTTATACAGAATCGAATATTTCAGCATTTAAATAAAGTATTCAAATAAAAATTACTCGAGATTCGAACATTCGGAAAACTCAAAATATCGCAGATGGTCGACAATCGACTACTCGTTTTTTGTCATTTTTGAACTTATTGTTATTCGGTTATTCAAAGCTTTGAGTTTTTGATCATATTCAAATATATTAGGTTGAACCGAAAGTTCTGTCGCACTAATTTCAAAAAACCGTAGCTTCCTTCTGTTACGATAGTCTTTCATGGAAAAAAATACCACTGGAAAGGGTAACTCATGTAATTTCTAATGACACCTTACCTGCTCTCGTCTATGCTCTGGTCGCGGAGATAAAAATCTGGAAAAGAAACCACTTAAAGGCAGTGTCCCGGCACATTTCTCAATTCTTTATGTATGTGGGCCTCTTCGACCCATAGATTCCGAATTTGAGCTTTGAAACGGATGGAAAGACCTTTTTCGGGGCGTTTACCCAATTTCCAAAAGGCAGCTCGGACGAGTATTTCAATGGAAAGTTGGGAGGCTCTGGCATGAAGACCCTGCTGCCTGTACTTTTTGCTTTGGATAACATACACAATGCGGGAGAGCGGTCGTGGCGTCGAACGGTAAGCGAAGTCGTAGAGCGCTCGCCGATTGGGGTTGCGCGCGCCGTCGAGGGCTATTTTCTCGGCCCAGGGGGAACATCAACCAGACGGACTGCGCGTGGAGGTTAGTGGTTGACCAGGAACCCCACCATAGCAAGGGTGTATGTCAAGAGGCGCGATTTTTATTGCCAGCTGGACACCAAGTGGCACATAATAAGTGTTCTGCAGCTTTCTAAAAGTATATGAAATTTGGAAGAAGATGTATTAGATAGCTGCATGAGCTCTTCAATCTTGATACTCTAGAAAAAATTCAAAAGAGCAATTTTAAAGGTCAAAAACTTATGAAAATACATTTCAGAACAAATTCGTAAATATTTCATTCCGATTTATAGCAAAAGCTATGAAAATCTGCAAGTGGTGACCTCAGGCAGACAGTAAGCTAATGCACTTTATCTGGTAATTTTTGCAGACTCGCATAGCACTAAACTGGAGTTTTAAGTTGGTGACAGCCAGAGAAATCGCGCCTCTTGACCGTCTACCCCATAGCAATATCCCCCAGGGCGCAATCTGCGGGACACCGCCCTTAAAGGCAGTGGATCGGCAAAACTTAACAACTTGAATTTTGACGCGGTAGGTTGCTTATCACCCAAGTATGAAAACTGTGCAATCCCGGCCGCACGGCATGCCTTCTCTGCCCAGAAAATTGCTCTCAAACTTTCATGCACAAGCCAATCTTACACGCGCTCGGACGAGTTGGCAATCCCGCTCTCACTCAGACACTCGCGGTTGACTCGCGCAGGGGATCCGCCCACAAAATGGACGTTCGCGGCAAAATCCGGTGGACCGGCGCGAGTCATCATTTTAGTTTCGTCCGGATTTTGGTGCGATTTTGTCGCGACGGGCGAGGAGGTTTCGAAATAACGCACCTATACGTCGACGTATTGATCAATTCTTCCCTGCATTTGTTGCATGTGTTTTTTTTTTCTTAGATGAATCTATACTTAGCAAAGCATGTCTTTCCAGAGACGTTCCATGCCGATAAAAACCAGGCTTAGACCAAAGAGAATCAGCTTGAGACGCTCATTTCGAACGCGTCCTTCTGATCACACGGCCATTATCTGCGTTGATCATCATCCGGAAGTAAAGGTGAACCCTTTTTCTCTCTTTCTAGAAGTTATATTTCATTCTTAGATTGTTTTGCTTGCTTACTTTAGCTGATTACTGGACTTTGAGTATTTATGCTAACGTGTACTATTTTGGTTTTCAAGCGCTTTTACGAAAACGAATGGGATGACAATTTTGCGTTGCGATCCCCGAAGCCAAGAAGGGAACGCCGACCTAAGCATAATCCTGTTCTTGAGGAGGTCGGAAGAGTTTCCGCATTATGATTACCATGATTCACCTATGATATAAGCTCATTCCAGGATTTTATAGAAGAGGAAGAAGAGAATATTAATGACAATGATGAAAGCCGCGAGAATGTCGATTCACAAGTGGATAGTGATCTTCCGGCCGTGTAAGAGCTGAATGAGAAGGCATGTTTTTATCTATAACACTGAGAAAGTAATGTTCTTCTTTTGCGGTTGCTCATTTCTTAAAATGGTATGAGCTTACAAGACAGTCATTTTCGAAATTTTGGAGGTTATGCGATTTTTGAACTGCGGTTGCTTGTAATGCTTTTTCTGAACTTCTTAAAGCAGATTTTTCATCACTGAAGAATGTCATCTACGGTTCAACTCTGTGCAAAAACTGGCATCAATATTGCCGGTTCCAGTTCCATATTATTTAGAGTACACAATTCCAGTTCAAAATTTACCTGGCATAGCTCACATTTATCGTACCGCATCTCACGAGTTTAGAAAAATCACTCATTTGACTCTCGCCTTTTTTTTCAGTGATTTGTACTCAATTCGGAAGATGAAAGAGTTTATACACATTGTTCATCCCGCACGTCATCATTTCTGACAGTTGGCTTAGCCGGAATTCGGAATTTACTTACAAGGAAAGGATCATCCATCGAAGTGGGGTTTCCACACATGATGCATATCATTCTGCTGCTCTTGGGGCCCTAATGCCAAATTCGTGATCCTTAGCTGCTCAATGATTTTCTGGGCAAAGTTATGAGCGATGGTTTACCCAAGATGCGGCTAAGGCTCGCATTGAGCTTGCGGCGCCAAGGGCATGCAGATGTGGACGGGTGGTCGAGTGGATACCTGCGGAGACTATGGAGCAAGTGGTAAAGAGTTCGGACCACTTTTGCAGCCACAATCTTTGCAAGTTGTTTAAGGTTATATTAGAAGGTCCCTAAGGCAAGGAAACCCTCATTGCAACTTAATTACATCAAATCTCGGAGATAATGGAAAAATCGTGCAAAGTTCTGAATTGGGCAATGTTGGTAGATCAGTTGGATCAAAAACATGTAAAACAGGTACAATCAACATGGATACCTGATGGGAAGCTTATTCATCATTTGCAATTATGTTTTCGCCGCAGGTGGTAGTGGGGTAGCTAGCTAGAAAGTTCGGTCCATGCGAAGTTCTGCGCAAACCACTCGAAAGGAGCAAAGGCTTTGAGCAAGCTCAGAACAATTTTTTGAATCACGTTATTGTGTTTTGAGCATTCTGTGATAAACTGCCACACATGCTCATAAATAGTTTGATACTAAATATAAAAACACGTTGATCTGGCATCGTGAGAGTGCATCACCCTTCAAGGTCTTTAGCCACTATTCTCAGTCAACGAGGAAAAATTATTGGTTTCAGAAGTTCAATATGGTTGAAGTCATGGAAAAGTGGCAGAGACCAAAACGCGCGCACAAGCATGATCATTTCCTTTTGGTGCTCGACTTTTTGCGCCACTTCTTTCTAAATGTAAGCGACAGATAGATGAAGATGATAAGGTCGTCTTGTAATCACCGTTTAGGCCTGCGAACCACCTACGGAAATTCAACAGTACGCCTGTAGAAAGAGCGGAAAGAAGGAGAAATTTGACCATCTTAAGGACCTCCCGGAAGGATTAGTCGATTTCTTAATAAGTGGGTCAATGTGTGTTTGAGTACATTACTTTCAATAACTGATTTAGGTTTCATCCTTGACGCCCTTGGCCTACACCGCGACCAACTTCTGCGGACGCCAGATGAGCATAAACGGAATCCAAATAAGTAT